TGGTACAGGGTCTCACTATGCAGCTCTGATCATAGTGAGCCTCCTGTTTGTAGCCTCCCCAGGGCTGGGGTTACAGGTGAGCACTACCACACTGAGTTTTTGTGGCAGGCTCAGTGCGCTCTGGGGTGGGGCCATCGCTGCATGTGGTGCTGGGGATTGAACCCCAGTCCCTGTGCTAGGAGTGAAGGTCAGGGACATGTGTGAGATTCTTAAAGAGAAGTGGAGGAAAGTGGTGTGATTTGATTTTTCACTGGCAGGTTGATGACTTTTACCCAGTCAAGTAATGTGATTTTTAAATACACTCGCGAGAAATTGCTTCCAGTATTGAAGAAGCATAGGGAACATACAGCGTTTGTTTGGCTACACAGGTTGTTCCTATTTCCTTCGTGGCTGTGCTGCCCCTAAATGAGCCTACGTATTTGTGTCACCTGAACTCCTTCAGAGGCCTATTTGAGTGCACTATCATTCTTGTTAGGAGTCTGACCCTTACAACTGTCTTTTTTATGTATCATTGGTCTCACCTGTTGATTCCTAGGGTTCTTCCAAGTCTAGTTCTATTCCCTCTTCCTTTCTTTTGCTCTTTGCTTCTTTCTTTTGTTGTTTGTTCTACTTTCTTCCCTTTCCTCCTCTTTCTACCTCTTCTTTTTATTGTCCTTCTGTACCACTCCTCCCTTTCTTTATTCTTTTATTCTCCCTCTCCTCTCCTCCCCTCTCCTCTCCTCTCCTCTCCTCTCCCCTCCCCTCCCCTCCCCTCCCCTCCCCTCCCTCCCCCCCCCCCCCCCCCCCCTCTCCTCTCCTCTCCTCTCCTCTCCCCTCTCCTCTCCTCCCCTCCCCTCCCCTCCCCTGTCCTCTGCTCTCCTGCTCTCTCAATGAGCTTATCATTAATAAATAGCATGTTATTACTTTCTTGTTGAGCCATCTTCTCCTTCTCCATGTAGGCAGCCCCAATAGTACCAACATGTAGTTTTTTTTTCATTCACCAATCTATTAATAAAATATTGCACTGAATACATTTCTAAAGTAGTATCCATTTAAGAGCCCAACTTTCTATTACAGAGGACATGGCAAAGTCCAATTGAGCAAAAAAAAAAAAAAAAAAAAAAAAAAAAAAAAAAGAAGGAAAAAGAGGACCAGCTAAATAGCTCAGTGGATTAAAAAGCACTTGCAAGTAGGCTCAGGGGTTGGGGGTTCTATCCCTAGGCTTGCTGTGCCAGCCCCGCCCCCAGAGCGTGCTGAGATGGCAATTGAAACTGGGCGTGATGGTTTGAGCCTGTAATCCCAGCTCTTGGGAGGCTAGGAGTCCGATATAATTGTGAGATCCTGAACACCTAAAATACAAAAAAAAAAAAAAAGAACAGACTTTAAGTTCAGTATGTCGCTGACATACTTTTTGGTTATTTATGTCAGTCATTAAAGATATCAGTAGAGGCAGAACTGAAAGAAAGAGGACATGAAATTGTTTTCTTTCAAAACTCAAGATCAGCAAAGTCCCAGTGTTAATATTCTGCACAGTTTACAAGCCCACCCTCAAGGTAATGACCAGCCTAATGACAGGCACCCCATGGGCTGCAGCTGTAGATTCTGTCCTGGAACAGATATCCAAAGTCACAGAGTTGGAAAAGTGGAGCCAATCAAATGTGCAAGTAAATAGAGAAGAATTTAATAAAGAATCACTCCTCAGAAGGAGCCATTCCACTGATGTGTCTTCACGCTGCCTTCTCACACAGCGGCCTACGCCTGTGTACAGGAGGTTTGAGCACCACTGAAGGGTGTGAGTAGGTGTGTATTCCTTTATCCAAGCGTGACTCCAGCAACCATTGCCTGCTTCTCAGAAATATCACCTTTGTAGAGTTCTTCATGGGGGAAGAGAAGTTTACCCTCAACTACTGTATTATGAATTCTATTGTGTGTATATGTACATATATATAACCTATTATTAAAATATTTCCCCTGCCTTTGGAGTCATGCAATTTTTACTTACTGGAAGGGAAAAAGGGTTAAAAAATATAGGAACATTTTGAATATATTTATTTATCTTCTTCGTGGCTATAGAGAACTATGGTGGCATTCAACTAATCCACATACCTGATAATTGAATTAAAGATTGACACAAAAGTCTTTTCAATTTATTGGGTGATTTGGGATTTCAAAGTGTGGTTTAGTACGAGGAAGTGTTCACGAGGAAGTGAACATGGAACGTCACACTTACCAGGCAGGTGTTGTGCCACTGTGCTAATTCCCGGTCCTCCAGGCATTTTTCTGGACATTCCATTGTATTTTTGTTTTTATAATTCTTCTTCTTCTTCTTCTTCTTCTTCTTCTTCTTCTTCTTCTTCTTCTTCTTCTTCTTCTTCTTCTTCTTCTTCTTCCTCCTTCTTCCTTCTTCCTTCTTTCTTCTGTATTTAGTACTGGCTCTATAGGGTCTCACTACACAGATCAAACCCATAGTGATTCTCCTGTTTTCTGCCTCCCAAGCCCTGGGATTACAGGCGTGCACCACCACACCCAGTCTCAATCACCATCTCAGTCTGCCTAGGGGGCGGGGCTGGCACAGCATGCCAGGGCTGAAACCGAGTCCCTGAGTCTGCCTAAGCAGGCACTTTAATCTACTGAGATATTTGGCTGGCCTTGTTTTTATAGGAATTCTTGAATTTTTATCATTTCATTTCAAAAATCAAGCACATTTTAATATTACACTATAATTACATATATATGAAATTTTCTGAAACAGATTCCTCTAACAGTCTTTTTTGTAGTATTTTTCCACTAGTTATTTTCCTAGTATCTTCTACACATGAGAGCAGGTGAGATTATGGGGGTGGAGGTGGAGGCAACAGAAATGTCCTGGGATGAAGACAACTCCAATCCCATAGAGCTTTATCACACGTGCAAGAACTGATCTCTAATGAGAGCACGGAAGGTATGCGCCTCCCGCACTGCCTCTCTCCAGGATTAGGACCTTGATGTCTATGTTACTCGTGTCAGGATGACAGCATACATTACCATCTTGCTTCTCTTTTAACAAAAGCTGAAGCGTGCATTGCATTATGGTTAATCATTAAGTATTGAGCACAAGGCTGTAGAGCTTATTCACACTCCTTGACCAAAAATTTATGTCCATCGATTAGGAATTCCTCATTTCCTGAGACCATCATAACTCCCTGTTCACTTCTTGATTCTGTTAAAGTGACTGTTTTTGACACTCTCTATAGTGGAATCGTCCAACGTTTGTCTTTCTGCGACTGGGGCACACAGTCATGCCGCTGGCTTCGTATCCATTTCATCTACATGTCGGTCCCCTGGGTGATCCAAATTGCTGGGTATTGTAGAAATTCCTTATGATCGAAGGCGGGATAGTATTCCACTACGTACGTGAAGCATAATTGCTCTTCCCCCTTCATCTATGTGTGCACGTGCCATTTGTTTCTGTATCTTGGTGTTGTGTATAGTGCTGCCATGAACACTGGCATGCTGATGCTTCTGAGAGCTTGATCTTAAGCATTTCGGGTAAACACCCATAAGGGGTACTGCCGGGTGCTTCATGAGTTCTATTTCTATTTCTTTGAGGAGATGCCCTACTTTCTTCTATAATATTTGCACCGCTTTGTACACCACTAATATTTTAGAAAGCCTCCAATTTCCTATTGTCTTTTGTTTTGCTTCGTTTTTGACTACAGGCATCCTGACATCATGGAGTGACATCTCAGTGTGGCTTTGGTCTGTGTCTTTTTGTTCTAAGTAACATGGACCATGTTTCCTATACTTGCTGGCTATGACTGCATCTTCTGTTAGATGAATGTCTGTTCTAAACTTGAACTTATTTTCTTACCAGGTTATGATTTTGGCGAGAGTTTTCTTTTGCTGTTTACTATTGAGTTCTAAGTGTCCCTGGTCAATTTTGAAGATTAACCCTTTAATGGGTATACGTGATCTTTAATAATTACATTTCTTTTCTCATTTGTCTTTATACTGCATTGTTTCTTTCCGTTGCTATCCCAAGCTTTTTAGTTTGACACAGGCCCACTTGTTTATTTTTTTCTTTATTGGTGTCATATGAAGGAAATTCTTGCCAAAACCAAAGAAGCTTTATCACTGAGTTTTCTCCTAAATATTTTGGTTCTAGTTCTCAAGTCTTTCAAATCTTTAAGGCTTTCATACAGATTTAGTTGATGGTGTAGGGTGAGGTCCAGTTTCATTCCTTTGCTGTTGACATTCCCTTTTCTCAGGACTGCTCATTGAAGAGAATGTGCTCTTCCAGTGTATAGTCTCACCCTTGGCAAAAGGCAATCAGACTTATGTGTGTGCCTTCACTTCAGGGCTCTTCCTGCTATGCCTTTGACATGTATATCTGTTAATACAAATATATTGTTTTGATTACTATAACTTTGTAATATAGTTTGAAATCAGGAATTGTGATACTTGTACACTTTGTTCTTATGATACAAACACAAGTTTTGTTCTTTCTTGCCAACAGTGCTTTAGCTATTAATGTTCTTTTCTGTTTCTGTGTGAATTTTAGAATTATTTTCCTGTGTCTCTAAAAACTGGTATTGGAATTTTGATTGGCATTGCCCTAATCTGCAGATAATTTGTGTAGTTGAATATTTTTCTCTCAACACTGTCTACCATTCCATGAATATAGGTGTTTTCCCATTGGCAGGAAGAGAGTCATTTTCTTCACTGTTTTGTGGTTATTAGTATGCACATTTGTCCTTGGATTACTTTATGTTTTATCTTAAAATAAGCCTGTGTTTTCTTTTGGATAATATTGGATATGTTTTTTTCTCTATAATTTTCTTTTACAGTTGCTTATTTGTGTGCATAGACTTGCAAATGATCTCTGCATTAGTCTTTGACTTTTAGGGCAGAAGCATGTCTTATTTTTATTTACCATATTAATATATGAATAATAATTAGTTGTTATTAATATCATTTGTTAGTGTATTTTAATTTTGTTTCATTGGTGATAATCATCTTTTCTCTCTTTTTTTCCACTCTAGGGCAGTACTAGTTCCACAGCTTCTCCTCCTGTCGCCACCCCTGTCACAGGACACAAGAGAATGGTCATCCCAAACCAACCCCCTCTGACAGCAACCAAGAAGTCTACAATGAAGCCTCAGGCTTCAGCCCAGGCTGGACCCATCCCTGTGGCTCCCATTGGAACTCTCAAGCCACAGCCACAGCCACAGCCAGTCCCAGCCTCCTACACCACAGCATCCACCCCTTCAAGACCTACCTTCAATGTGCAAGTAAAGTCAGCGCAGCCCAGCCCTCACTACATGGCTGGCCCTTCGTCAGGACAAATGTATGGCCCTGGGCCCCATAGCTATAACACTCAGCCCATCCCTGTCTCTGGTCAGGGTCCACCTCCTTCAGCGCGGGGAAGCACAGATTATGGGTACGTCCCACCACCAGGACTTCAGCCAGAGCCTGCGTATGGGTATACCCCCAACCAAGGACGCTATTATGATCCGTATTATGCAGCAGGGCCAGGGTATGGAGGCAGAAATGACTCTGATCCTGCCTATGGTCAACAAGGGCACCCCAATACCTGGAAGCGAGAACCAGGATATGCTGCTCCTGTGGCTGGGAGCCAGAACCCTACTGGCATGTATCCAGCCGCTGGTCCCAAGAAGACCTACATCACAGATCCTGTTGTTGCAGCTCCTGGTGTACCGTCCCTGCAGCCAAAGGTAAGAAACTCACCAGCATATTAGGGAGGCAGAGGGCTTACCTTGTCTTAGCCTGTCATTCCCAGAAAGGGAAACTGAAGACAAACTGCACATGCTCTCTTCTGCTTTGTTAACAAATACAATTCCAGGGAAAATGAGTGAAGTAGAATAAAATGCAGGTTGTACTTGCAGATTCATCCCTAACGTGGCCTGTATTTATTGTCAAGTGTTAATTCATTGCTTGATAGTGGAAAGTTTTCTTCCAAGAAGCCATGTGAACCCTAGTATGTCCAGAAAGTCTATTCTGGGGAATGGAAGGAATATAATTTATATTCCACCTCGTATGCCCTGTTGATCAGATCCCACCAAAGAGAACCTTCTCATGCATATTACACTGCTTAGATGCTGATAAGTGTGTGGCATCCTATGCATTTGCAGATACAAGTCATCTCCACATGTGTAAGTTTGAGGGATGCATAGTACTGCTCGGGTGAGCTGCTGTTGATCTGTGTCCATTCCAAAGTGGTCAGAAATCAAGCAGAGTTGGTACTGCAGTGCTGGTAGGGTAGAACAAGTGGCCAAGGGTAAAGGACGCAAGAGATGTCCAGAGGTTTGAGGTAGTGCAGCACACTCGGGCTGCTTCCCTTGGGAAAATGTAGATAAAGAGACTGAGTGTTGCTCCCCATTTCTTTATGTTTGCTCCCAATTTCTTTATGATTCCACAAGTAGGCAATTTCTCTTCCCTCTTCAAGCGTATGAAATAGTGTCTGGAACCTCTTAATGAGTGATGGTTTCCCTGTTTTGTTTGGCTCAGTTGTCAGTACTATTGACTACCTTTTAAGTTAACATGCTCAGTTTCTTCAGTTGGCTATGCAAAATATAATACTACACATCCCAATCTTTAAATTTTGTTTAATTTCATTAATATATGTGTGAACTGGAAACACTGTTATGTATGACTATGTCAGGAAAACATTTACATTGACTTGAAACAATTTGGGCATGTTAATCTATACTTTCAACTGTTAATTGTATGATCTATAGATCTATATATACACCCGTCAAGTATTTCTAATGAACAGTTAGCATCCAAATTGAGATGTGTCACAAGATTGGAATATGTTTCTGATTCTGAAGACTTAATACCAGAAAGAATACCTTACTAATAATCTTTTTATGTCTTATATTAAAATACTATTTTGCTGTGCTAAGTTATTGATATATTATCAGAGTTTAAAAAATAATATTATGGATCCTGGTTCACTATAGTTTAGATTTCACATTAACCCTTGAACAGACTCAGAGCTGTCCTCCTGCCACGGCAAGAAAAACCCATGAGAATTACTTGGAAAAGGTGAGACAGAAGAACTGAACCAACTTGCGGCCATTGAATGAAACTGAGTCCTCTTTTTAGTTAGCGCTACCATATATCAGAAACTGGAGAGCCCTTGGTTAGCTTCAAGATAATTTTAAAAGATGGATTAGAGTAGAACATTGCAGGGTGCTTTTTATTCTTTTTCCATATTTTTGACAAGATTCTCAGTTTCAGGAATTACAATCAAACTGTCCTGCAGGGTCTTGAGTGATAGTTTCTGCTTTATTCATGGAGCTCCAAGTGAACCCCAAGTTCCTTAAAGGTCTAGAGCTGCACCCTAGTATTGCTTGTGAAGAGGAAAGGAGCCCAGTGACCTCACTGGTCCCCACTGTGTTACAGTAGGCCCACCATGCTCATTGTCCAGTGTAAAGATTCCGAGTTACAATTCCAAGTGCTTTTTGCAACATGCTCTGTTTCTACAGTGTCCTTATGAAGAGAAACCTTTGATCCGAAGTGGCTTGTGCTTGTCTGATACAATGACGCTACGTGGCCTTTTCCTTTGTGTCCATCATGGAGAAACAGTTTAGAAACAGAAAAATCAGATTGACTCTTTACCTTTGCCTCACTTTTGTACAACTGCCACAAGATTACAGTCAAAGTTTAGGTGGGGGTCATTGCTGTCAGCATTTATGTACTACTAGGAAAGCAGTTTTTGCGTGACTTGAAGTAGGCTTTGCAGAAGGAAGATGAAGGGGAAGATAGGGATGAGCTCTGAGGTCCCTTGTGAGTGCTGTCACCCACCTGTGGAATAGAAATGAGAGCAAACAAAAATGTGTCTATACGGAGGGAGCACTTTGGTGACAAGCACAGAGCCACTCTTGAGGCGCTCCATTGTCCAAGGGTGGCATGGAACACTCTAGACAGTCCCTGTTCTACGTTTGGCACCAACCCATTGGCCCAGGGACAGAATGCCCATTGCAGAGCCTGCATCTGTGATGTTCTATTCAGCTTCATTATTAGCACCCGGCCTGCCCTCACCCACCTGCTCAGGGTGCTGGCGCATGTTTTTATGACCTATTTATCAGAAGTCAACTTCGCTGGGTTCCTATTTGAGTGAAGTGGTTATCCAAAATGATTCATTGTGCTATTCCGGACCTTAGATATCAGTAGATCCCATGCCACTGGAAACGTTTGGCAATGTGTGCTTTCCAACATTGTCATATTCTCACATCATACTCAGTTGTGCATTTTAAGAATGAAAAGCAAATTACACACTTTCTGGCTATGGTGACGAAGGCGAGTGGTTAGAGGTTGATGTTTAACCATCTGTCTGTGCTCCGGGAAAGGGGGAGAGACAAAGCTAGGACGCATCCCAAGTATTGGGGCACTGACGGGTGCGGTAGGCACTTTCATGGCTTGTCATTGAGCGGAGCACTGCCGCACTCACACACACAGCTGCCAGAGGACTCCCTTATCCTTACTGGCTTCATGAGGCTTCACAGCATGCCTGCAAGTTTGAAGAATGAGTTCCTGCCAGTTCCTACCCTGCTTCTTCCCTGACATTCCTCTTTCAGTTTGAGGAAAACCACCACACCTCTGTACGCTGTGCTTTCAAACTCAGTAAAGTGAAACATCGTCTTCACTAATTAATGAATGATTGCAAAGGGCTTGGAAATTTCCAAGGGCTGAAGACTTGCCAGGTGAGGGGCATTCAGCTCTTCCACAGGCTTTCTTTGTTTCTAATTTTATCATGGCCCATGGAAACGTTATCTGTGGGCCATCAAACAGTGCTCTTTCGCCACACTGAGAAGTGATGATACTTGGCAGTAAACTGATTGAAGAAAAAATTTTAAGGAGATGAAAAATTCATCTTGCTTATAGTTCAGGTTAGCTGCTTTGATTTTTTTTTTTTTGATTGTACTATGATAACAAAAGAGCAAGAAGGAATTTATTTGTGTTCCTGTAATGTGCTGAGCTGTGAATTTACATGCTACTGTAGGCTGTAATGTGTTTCCTGTAACATCTGAGTCAAATTTCTTGAAAAAATATTGTTACAGGGAAGTTTTCTAAGGGAGAAATTTTCCCTTCTTATGGGATAGCCCTTTTGAGATACAGTCGAATCTTTGTGTTGGTTTGGAGACCTTAGTGTTAATTCCATGTTCCTTTCCTGTGAAACAGTATGTATATTTTCTGTAGTATTTGGTTAAGGATTCTTAAATGCACCCTGACTGCCATTTCCTTATCATAAAACTGGTTCTAGGCTAGCTAGCCTCAATTTTGTTCCCGTGACAATAATGTACCAGACAGTACAGGCAAGCTCTGGGGTTACACATGCCCCAGAAAAGCCGGAGAATTCACCCCACTCAGCATGGTAGGTGCATCAAATTCTAACAGCATTTTTTGGTAAAATTCCTTGGAAAATCATTAAGAATGATGGGAACCTAAAAATCAACACACTTCTCTCTATAAATGTAACACAAAGTGTTTTTTTATCCAGAGTGAGAGAAGATCATTACTTGCATTGGAATTTGAGGTTGGGTGAGGGGTTATTTTGTGATTCAGAGAACTGCTGAGCTTGTGGCTAATGGGATTCGTCAACTGTAATTTTTGTAAAGATTAAAAAAGTAAGATTAATAAATAGGTGAGAGTATTGATATTGTAGCGTTTTGTACACTGCCCTAAAATCAGTATATTGAAAATTGTTCAACATATATGCTGGGTACATTGCAGAAAATTACTGGCAAATGAAAGAAAACCATCTTTATTATAATCCCTGAACATCTCAGTTCTAGAGTCAAAGCAACAACAACAGAAAGATTTGCTAGGTGGGCACAGAGATGGATGCTGACTTCTGCCGCAGGTCAGTTGGTAATGCCTGCTTATGTGTGAAAAACAAGGAGAGCGATTCCTTGAGTAAGCTGGGGCAGCAGTCTGGTAACCACTCTTTGGACAGAACTTTCTGCTTTTCACATCACTTGTGGATGGCACGTGTAATCATGAATAGTGAGGGCACCTAGAGGTTTTTATCTCTTCCTGAGCAGGGTTCTAAAGCTGAGCAGTGAGTTTGTACCTGAGGCCATAGCTCAAGTTCTTGGAGAGCCACAGCTCCCAGGCAGATCTTCTGAACATTGTCCCTGTTGCTTGGCTGTGACTGTTCACCAGATATTCGCATGATTTAGTGTGTGGCAGGCAGGGGCTCCACGTCAGCTCTGCAGGGTGGATGAGGTCAGCACTTCCAGGGGAAACACCCAATAAACCCCCGGAGTGAGGCTTTCCAGTCCCATCAAGCCACATGTCCTTTTTCCCCAGATCTTTTTGACTTCACTAAGTCTTGGACCAATTTTCTTATCTAATTTGTACTTAATTGCCTTCATTTCTCACTCCACCACTGAAATGGCCTCTTAATGTCTCTTTCTCTTGCTAGCCTCATATCCATTCATCTTACACATACTACCACATCAGTCTTTGTCTGGTACACCTCTACTCTTATCAGTATTTTTCCCCCAGATGTTAACAGCTTTCAAACAGCTGGGTGTGGTAGTGCAGTCCTGTAATCCCAGAAGTTCTTTTTTTTTTTTTTTTAAATTATTTATTTATTTATTTATTTATTTATTGTGTGTGTGTGTGTGTGTGTGTGTGTGTGTGTGTGGCCAGCTCAGCCCACCAGGGGGTGGGGCTGGCTGGCATGTGGTGCTGGGGGATCGAA